TTTTTCTTCATCTTCTCATGGACTCCAATCAACTCATAAAATTAGGAAACTTGGTCGGTCGTGCCCAGGAGCACCCCTTGACATTTTAAAAATCCTTTTTGCTGTTTTGTTTAGTGCGATTCATTGAAAAAAAAAAAAAGGCTCTGCTTATGTTCTAAATCTGGAAAACAGAGCAAGCACTGCGCAGAAGAAAATTGGGGAAGAAGACAGGGGCATGTTTGTAAATATGAGGCCAAAGTATTTCTTTAATCCTTAACTTAATAAATTTGAAAGATTTATCCTCTCAACATATATTATAAAGTTTTTAGTCCTATACTTAAAGATTTGAAAATTTTAACTCTTAAACTAACGAAATCATTAACCCTCCATTAAGATGAGAACAAAATATTTATAAAATCAACCTTTAAAGATTAAAAATATAAGAATTTAAATTTTAAAGTTTAAAAATTAAAAAATTTATTAAACTAAAAATAATTAGTGGATATCTTTACCACATAGGAGAGAATAATATTAGATATCTATAATAAATCAAGCAATTAGCTTAATTTAAAGAAAGAATTTTAATTAAGATTAAAAAAAATTTCTTAACTGAATTAAGACAAAAAATCTAAAATACTAGAAAAATAAAAAAAATTCTTTAATCTCAATTAGATTTCTCTATTTAGATGGAGTTAATCATTTGATTTAATTATAAATATCTAATACTATTTTCATATTTGTGACAAAAACATCCACTAATTATTTTTAATTTATTAATTTTTAAACTTTGAGACTAAATTATTATATTTTTAATCTTTAAGAACTAATTTTATATACAAATATTTTATTCTCACTTTGACGAACAATTAACAAAATATTTAAATTTATAGGGTAAAAACTTCATAATATAAAGTAAAAAACTAAAACTTTCAAATTTATTAAGATGAGGGACTAAATGTAACTAAAGGTATACTTTAGGCGTCTTAGGATTCATAATTATGGGGTAGATATTTAATTCCGGAAATATAACTACTCTACCTTGTATTATACAGTAACTCAAGACTTTATAATTAATAAACAGTGATATTTTTCGTTCCGTTGCAATTGAGAGGCTTTGATTTCCAACCCATAATATGCCAGTAAAACGAAGAGATGAAAAAAATTATTTTTTATTATACAATCAAGATTTATATATATATACTCTTTAAACAATGCCAAAGATTTCTGGGCAGGAAGAAGCGTGAATAGCTCATATGTGTTGAATTCTTTTACTTCTCCAGCTACTACTTCAGCCTCAGGAAGAATATATTCTAAACACACAACCATTTAAAGACAATATTAGACATGAGTGCAATTCAATCTATATCCAAATGATCCGCATGAAATGAAAACAAACCAGTAGTAGAAAAAAATATCATGTAATCAGCAAAAATCAAGGAATTTATATGTATATTTCTTTCCCTTGCAATATTAGCTTGATTTACTTCTTAACTAGGCTTGACTAGCTGAATTTAATGAACCATCCATCATTAACTTCAAGCTTAGACTGTTGAATCTTTCTCTTGAATACTGTCTTGATGCTTTTCTCCAATCTGTACCGGCCTTCATCATCGCAGCAAACTCCTCATAACTTATGCGTCCGTCCTGCAATATGAATGGAAAATGTTTAACTTCCAGTTTTGGCACCCAAATACATGTTATTTGAGATGTTGAGAGTAAGAAGATGGAGATTCTTCAGTAAACTTAAGTACTGTCTGCATATGGCACAATAAGCACCTTGTCTGTATCAACATCAAGCATGATGGGATTGATAACCTCCTCGCTACTGGTGTCAACATCGTCATTTAAGGCATCTCTCAGCTCTTCAATCTCTATGTAACCACTTTGATTTTGATCAAAAACTGCAAAAGCTTTATGTAGGTGCTCGTCATTGGCCATCTTCCGCAGGTGGACAGAAACTGCCATGAACTCTCCATAATTCAGAGTTCCATCGCCATCAACATCAGCCTGTGAAAATGAAAGTTTACATTCAGTTCTTATATTTGAAACACTGCAAGTGAAACATTTGTTAGAAAATGTAAACCAACCATAATGAAGCATTGGCCTTTTGTTAACAGATTTCAAATGTCAGGGGGCATGGTGGAGGTTTAAAAATGAGGAGTAATTTTGCAGAGTATTCGCTTCCATTTAATCCAATCCTATTCCTATTTATAAATTCTGAATGCATGGATCAAAAGCAAAAACTTTTGCACCAGGCACAAATTAGTGCTTACAGCCTCCATCAGGATTTGAAGATCTGCATCAGGAATCTGTTGCCCAAGCTTTTGCAATCCAATCCTTAGCTCTTCAAGATTTATTTTCCCTCTATTCTTGGTGTCCATCATTGCAAAGGCATCTTTTATGCCAGCAACTTCCTCCACTGACAGATGCTCAGCGATCACCTGATGTATCAGGGTATAAACAAGAGCTCAGCTTAGTAACCTAGAGATGTGCATAATCAATAAGCAAGAGCCTAACTTGTCTAAAAAATTTTGTTTGAGGGTATTATTGATAGATTTGAACAGTTACCCTTAGAGCTCTTTTCTTCAGCTTGTTCATCACAGAAAATTGTTTCAGCCTTGCTTTCACAGTTTCACCCAGAGGGACATTCAGAGCTTTCTTGGCATTCTGTAACCATGGATGCTCTGCACATAAGAGTTTCGAATGATTTCAAGTTTGGCAAAAAAATATCACCATAAATAAAGCATATCCATTAGTGTAACAGAATATTACCGAGAACTCCTTGAGCAGTAAGACGCCGCCTTGATCGGGATGAAGCATTTTCTTCACGAGGTCCTTAGCATTGTCAGAAACCTTGGGCCAGGGATCCCGCGAACCCACGCTTGGGTTCTTCGAAGGAACCCAGGCGCGGGTTCGAAGAACCCAAGCCTGCTGGGTTCTTCAAACCCACGCCTGGGTTCTTCGAACCCAAGCGTGCTGGGTTCTTTGAACCCACGTCTGGGTTCCAAGAACCCAGCGGCGGCTGTTGGTGTTTGCCCTCTGCTCTTCTAGGTTTTGAATGGGAAGAAGGAGAGAAGATACTGATTTTGGCAGGAGGTGGGCCCACGTTTTATTTCTTTTTTTGGCTGGTTGAAATCTGACGTGTTTTAATCGCATGGTATTTATGTGTCATCATTTTCAGTTAGTTACATGAGAATATTAGATATATATAATTAAATCACCAAATTAAACTTTTGGATTGTCTTTGTCGTTTCCAGTAATAAAACAAGGGTTCCAAAAGGTCCTGAACCTTAACTTTATCCATAAAACTTCTTGCAAGTTGGGTTTGATAAGTCATTACCTATTTTCAAAAAAAAAAAAAAAAAGTTGGGTTTGATAATGTCACTTTCGAACATCCGCAGATTAATAAAAAATAATAATAATTGTTTCGTTTTTATCTGTTCTTGCGCATGTGCCTCTACTATTGAAATCGGGTCAATATTAAGCCTTATTTCGATTCACCCCCCCTCTACTTTTATTTATCTTCACATGTCCTCCTCTAGTATTCAAAACCATATTAATGTCGTCCCTCCGTCTATTTTGGGGCTAACAAACTGTCTATTGACTGTTAAATTGCAAACGGAGGGACGTTTGGGGACTTTTCAATTCGGTTTAAGTACCATTTTGGTCCCTCAGCTTTTCACTTTGATACCAAAATTGTCCTTCAACTTTAAAAAATATTAAAATTATCCTCAAACTTTCATTTTCGATACTAAAATGGTTTTTTCGTTAGTTAAATGACAGATGGCACGTTAAAATGCCAGCAAATCAATTCTTTTTTTCCTTAACTAATGACATGGAAAAAAAAAAAACATAGTTGGCATTTTTTTATGAATTGGCATTTTCATTTAATTTTAAAATAATAATCCTTTTTTTTTTCACCCACGTCAGATTTCTTTCTCCTCTTTCATTTTCTCTCCTTTACCTTTCCTTTTCTCTTACCTCTGCAAACCCAGGCTCTGGGTTTTCTCAAACGGCCGAGAAGCTTTGGAATGTAGGCAATGGTTATGATCGATTCAATAGACGAGAAGAAATAGTGTGTATTTTTCGTTGGGGGTTTCCTGGAAAAACTTTTAATTGTTAATTGTGATGAAACCTAGATTTGGGTTTCAGACAAACCCAGATCTAGGTTTCAAACAAACTTCGTAGAACTCTACAGCATACCAATACCAATCACAATTTAGAGTAAGACAAGAATCCAATCCTATTCTTGTGATAAAATTAATATGCATGTAAACAAGAACAATCAAACATGCCAATTCCCCAGTTACAGAAATCTAACAAATCCCTCATTCTCAGATCATACTCTTAGTGGCTAGATTTAAAAAATCAAAATAAAAAATTTAAACATTTCAAATTATAAGATTAGAACGTTTACACTTAAAATCCAGAAAATAGATTTCAAACTTGTTAAGAATATAAAAGAGCAAACAGTTGGAAAACTCATCGCAATATCTGGGTTTGAGAATCCACAGGACCACAAATTGAGAAGGAAATGAAACCACCACCAGCGAGAAGAGGAGATCGGAAGGGCTACCCCCTTCAGAAGGCAAGGCTCCACGCCCGCCGTGCGGCGAAGGGTTGCTCTCGATCACACAACCCTTGCGTTGTACTGCCCGGACATGAATGAGAAGCCGAGAAACTCTGAGTATAGCCGTGATGTCTACAAGGCGTCTAACCCGGGTATTACCCCACAAAAACCCAAAAAATAAACACTCCAAGAAACACCCTTTCGCTCACCCTTCAAGCTACCAACTCCAAAGACACAATCAATTTCATAACTGAAAACCCACAAGCTTTCTATGCTGCATCTGCTAAAGGAAGCTGGCTTTCCTTGAGATTTTCGTGTGAGGAGAGAAGAAAGGGGAAGGGGAAGATATATAGATAACAGGGGAGTGAAGGAGAAGGAAGACTGGAGGGTTGTGGTTGTGGTTGTGAGAAGTGTGTACTGTGGTTGGTGGTGTGGTCCTGTGGATGCTTTTTTGGGCACGTACCCCCAAATTCACAAGTCACAGCATCTGGGTTTGAGAAAAACCCAGATCTGGGCTTGAGAGAAGAAGAAGAAGGCCGACCGACGGCAGTAGTAGCATCGTCCACTCCAGCGCGTAGGTGTTGTGTTCGTTGTCATCGACGGCAACGATCATCACATTCACATGCTTCTCGGCTGTTTGAGAAAACCCAGAGCCTGGGTTTGCAGAGGTAAGAGAAAAGGAAAGGTAAAAGGAAGAAAATGAAAGAGGAAGAAGAAATCTGATGTGGGTGAAAAAAAAAATTATTATTTTAAAATTAAATGAAAATGCCAACTCATAAAAAAAATGCCAACTATGTTTTTTTTTTTCATGTCATTCATTAGTTAAGAAAAAAAAAAGAATTGATTTGCTGGCATTTTAACGTGCCACCTGTCATTTTAATACCGAAAATGAAAGTTTTAGGATAATTTTGATACTTTTTAAAGTTGAGGGATAATTTTGGTACTAAAATGAAAAGTTGAGGGACCAAAATGGTACTTAAACCTTTCAATTCCTTTTCTTTTTCTTTTTTTTTCCTAAATGTGCAGAGTGGCTCCACCCATGCCACATCATCTCTCTCTTTGCAATGTAGAAATCCTTCCCCCTTGGCTTTGCTGTTTGGTAATTAGTTGTTATACTCTCTTTTTAGATGAATAATGATAAGAGTTTTTCTAATTTGTGCTTTAAGAGTCTCAAAAAAACAAAAAAAATATATTTAATTTAATAATTTTTACGTCGTTTTAAAAAAAACTAAATTACCATATTTTTAAAGCATGTATTAAAATGATTTTTATTCTTTTTCTTCTTAATTTTTTAGAGATAAGACGGACAAACACTAACCCTTAAATTAAAAGTCAATTTTTGATCTTTTAGTATAAAGTAATTGCTAAAAATAAAGGAAAAAACTCTTTTTTATTATACTATAGACATTGTACAAGTTATTTCATTCTTTTTTTAGTTAACCCTTTTTTATTGTGATATGTGTGTTGATTCTTTTTTACAGAACTAATTTTGCTCTCTTTTTTTATATATATTTTTAATGTAATAATAAGCTACAGTATTAATTTTGTTACTATACTAAACACTTATTTGATTAAAAGATTATTTTATTA